GGGTGGCCAAAGTATTTGAGCTTCAGTTTCATTATCTGGCCTTCCAGGGAACAGTCAGGGTTGATTTCTTTTAGGATTGACTGATTTGATCTTCTTGCAGTCCAAGGGACTCTCAAGAGTCTTCTCCAGCACCATAGTTCAAAAGAATCTATTCTTCGGCGCTCGGCCTTCCTTATATTTATTTATATGTATTATACACAGTGTTAATGTCTTTTTTTCATATCTTCCTGGAACTACGACCCTCAGTTTTTGAACTATCAACCTCCAGGTGAGGTCCCAAGATATCCCAGAATAACAGCTGACCTCCAAACGATGGAAATCTGTTCCCCTGGAGAAAAATGGCAGAAGAAGAAGAAGATGGAGATGATGATGATCAAGGGAGGTGGTCGTTCCGCTCTATTCTGCGATGGTCAGGCCTCACCTGGCGTCCTGTGTCCAGTTTTGGGCACCACATTTTAGGAAGGATGTTGACAAGCTCGAGCGTGTCCAGAAGAGGGCAACCGGGATGGTGAGAGGGTTGGAATCCAAGTCTTAGGAGGAAAGGCTGAAAGAGTCGGGTCTGTTTAGCCTGGGAAAGAGAAGGCTTAGAGGGGACATGATTGCAGTCTTCAAGTATCTGAAGGGCTGTCATGTAGAGGATGAAGCGGATCTATTCTCTCTTGCTCCGGATCGCAAGACTAGATCGAATGGGTGGACATTACAAGGGAGTCGATACCAGCTACATATCAGGAGAAACTTCCTAACCGTAAGGGGTTGAGCAGTGGGACAGACTGCCTCGGGAGGTGGTGGAGGCTCCTTCGCTGGGCGTTTTCAAGCGGAGGCTGGACGACCATCTTTTAGGTGTGTTGTAGGGCTATCTTTCGGCTAAAATGCTCCTGCAGAGTGCAGGGGGTTGGACTAGATGACCTGCAAAATCCCTTCCAACTCTAATATTCTATGATTCTAAGAAGAGAAGGAGGAGGAGGAGGTTGTATTTATACCCTGCCCTTCACTACCCGAAGGAGTCTCAGAGCGGCTTACAAACTCCTTTCCTTTCCCCTCCCCACAACAGACACCCTGTGAGGTAGGTGGAGCTGAGAGAGTTCTTTTAAGGACTGCCCTTGAGAGAACAGCTCTGAGAGAACTTATGACTGACCCAAGGTCACCCCGGCAGCTGCCTGTGGAGGAGTGGAGAATCAAACCCGGTTCTCCCAGATAAGAGTCCGTGCACTTAACCACTACACCAAACTGGCATCATTGGAGTATGGATTTTACGGCATCATACACTGCGGAGGTCACCCCCGTCCTCAGAACTGTGGAGGGACGAATGCCAACAAAGCCCTTTGCACTGGTTACATTTCTCCCTGCCACTCCTGAGCGGTGACTCACAAAAGCTCAAACCTTGCCACAAATTTGGGCAATCTGCTGGAAGTCTGGGAGTTCTCCAGGCCCCACCAGGAGGCTGGCAACCCTAGCATCCTCCCTACTGTGGCACACCCAAGGGGGGGGGGGGGGCTTGGCTGGGAGGGCTAAATAATGTACCGTTGCATCTCAACAGGCCCATGGTCCGAAAAATAAGCATCAGCCAAGAGGCAAGGCAGTTGAGAGCCAGTTTGGTGTAGTGGTTAGGTGTGTGGACTTTATAATCTGGGAGAGCCGGGTTTGATTCCCCACTCGTCCACAGGCAGGTGCTGGGGTGACCTTGGGTCAGTCACAAGTTCTCTCAGAGCTGTTCTCTCAAGGGCAGTCCCTGAAAGAGCTCTCTCAGCCCCACCTACCTCACAGGGGAGGGGACGGGAGCGGAAAGGAGTTTGTAAGCTGCTCTGAGAATCCTTCGGGTAGTGAAGGGCGGGGTATAAATCCAATCTCCACCTCCTCCTCTTCTTCTTCCAGTTGGCAGCAGAGGAGAGGACCTGAAGCAACGGGTTTAAATAACACGCAGAAAGGTACCGGCTGGATATTAGGAAAAACTTTTTCATCGTCAGAGTGGTTCAAAAGTGGAATCAGCTGCACAGGGAGGTGGTGAGCTCCCCTTCACTGGCAGCTTTCAAGAAGTGGCTGGATGAATATTTGTCAGAGATGCTTTAGGCTGGTCCTGCATTGGGCAGGAGGTTGGACTAGATGGTGTGTATGGCCCCTCCCAACTCCTCCTCCTCTTCTTTTTCCATTAAAGCACTAATAACAGAGCCCCCTGAGTATACAGAAGACCACATACAGCAAGAACGGGCATGCTCCAATCTTCCTCTCCAGTTTTTAGGGAGCACGCATGTATATTCTTAAGAGGTTTTGCTTTCACACTCGCACGATGAACAACAGGAAGCGAATTTCTTCCCCGGTTGGACCTCATCCAGGCCTCTTGCAGAAAGTTCCAGTAAATATTTTTGAAAGATGGGGGGAAAAGTTATTGTATACTAAAGAAGCCCGTAAAGTCCAACAACAGGGCAGAGAGGCTGAGGCCTTCCCCTGATAAGAACATCAGGAGAGCCCTGCTGGGTCAGACCAGGGAGGGTCCCTCTAGTCCAGCCTCCTGTCCCACACAGGGGCCAGCCAGTTCCTCTCGAGGGCCAGCAACAGGGCAGAGAGGCCGAGGCCTTCCCCTGATAAGAACATCAGGAGAGCCCTGCTGGGTCAGACCAGGGAGGGTCCCTCTAGTCCAGCCTCCTGTCCCACACAGGGGCCAGCCAGTTCCTCTCGAGGGCCAGCAACAGGGCAGAGAGGCCGAGGCCTTCCCCTGATAAGAACATCAGGAGAGCCCTGCTGGGTCAGACCAGGGAGGGTCCCTCTAGTCCAGCCTCCTGTCCCACACAGGGGCCAGCCAGTTCCTCTCGAGGGCCAGCAACAGGGCAGAGAGGCCGAGGCCTTCCCCTGATAAGAACATCAGGAGAGCCCTGCTGGGTCAGACCAGGGAGGGTCCCTCTAGTCCAGCCTCCTGTCCCACACAGGGGCCAGCCAGTTCCTCTCGAGGGCCAGCAACAGGGCAGAGAGGCCGAGGCCTTCCCTGATGTTGCCTCCTGGCTCTGAGATTCAGAGGCTTAGTGCCTCTGAACGTGGAAGTTCCCCTCGGCCACTTTGGCTAGCAGCCACTGATAGATTCCTCCACAAATCTCTCTAATCCCCCTTTAAACCTGTTTCTTCCTGCAGCCATCACTACATCCTCCGGCAGCGAGTTCTGTATATTAATTACTCTCTGCATCAAGTGGCGTTTCCTTTTGTCCATCCTGAACCTACTGCCCATCAGCCTCATTCGATGCCCTCGAGCTCTAGTCTTGGGAGAGGGCGAAAAAGTTCTTTTTGTCAGCTCTCTCCACTCCAGGCATCATTTCAGAGTCCTGTATCACGTCCCCCCCTAGTCACCTTTTTTTCTAAGCAGCGAAGTCCCAGAGACTCTTCAGCCTTTTACTCTCAGGGAAGGGCGCTCCCACCCTCGAATCACCTCTGCACTCCACACTCAACCACCATCTGAGTGATGCTGCCTCTCAACCCCTTCGGATCCCTTTGGAAAACCCTCCTTTTCTAATCCTTCGTTCTCACCCTGACTGGAAGTGGCCCCTCAGCAGTGTTCCCTCTAAGCTGAGTCAGTGTGAGCCGGCTCAAAGTTTTTTAGCGTCTGGCTCGCACATTTTTTTGTCTTCGCTCAGGAAGGAGGGCTCCAGAGCAAACTAATTCATGCAGCAGCCAAACCGCTCGCTCATTTGAATGCCGGTGGCTCACAAAGTAGAACCTTTGCTCACACGACTCCACAGCTTAGAGGGAACACTGCCCCTAAGTACTTACAACAGAAGTGGTTTTTTAAATGGCGTTTGTTCCATCGTTCTGACCCCTACCCTTGCTTCTGCCTGTTGTTACTCAGTAAAGCACCGTAAGGTAAAGGTAAAGATTCCCTTGCTCGAAAGCCAGTCGAACCCGACTTTAGGGTTGCGGTGCTCATCTCCGTTTCAAAGCCGAAGAGCCAGCGCTGTCCGAAGACGTTTCCGTGGTCACGTGGCCGGCATGACTATACACCAAGGCGCACGGAACGCTGTTCCCTTCCCACCGAAGTGGTCCCTATTTATCTACTTGCAATTTCTTGCTTTCGAACGGCTAGGTTGGCAGGAGCTGGAACTAGAGACCGGAGCTCACTCTGTCATGCGGCAACTTGGGTCTCGAACTGCCAAACTACCGACCTTCCACAGCCTGCAGTTCAGCGTCTTAACCACTTGAGCCACCGCAGCTCCTTAAAGCACTGTAGAAGATGGATTTTTGAGGGGTTTGTGCACAGCGGGGTGGTATAGTAGTTAGGGGTTTGGGACTGGGATTATCAGAGGGGTGGTGGGGGAAGTACGTTCAAGTCACAGCCGATTCATGGCGGCCCCTGGAGGGGGTTTCCCAAGACAAGAGATGTTCAGAGGTGGTTTGCCCCTGCCTGCCTCTGCGTAGCAACCCTGGACTACCCTTGGTAGTCTCCCACCCAAATACTAACCAGGGCCGACCCTGCTTAGCTTCCGAGATCTGATGAGGTTGGTCTAGCCTGGGCTATCCAGCCAAGGGCGAATATCAGAGGCCCAGGCTCAAATCCGCACCCTGCTATCAAACCTGCTGCATGAAGAGGAGGAGGAGATTGGATTTATACCCCCACCCTTCATTACCCAAAAGAGTCTCAGAGCGGCTTACAAACTCCTTTCCCTTCCCCTCCCCACAGCAGACACCCTGTGAGGTAGGGGGGGCTGAGAGAGCTCTTGACAGAAACTGCTCTGAGAGAACTGTGACTTGGCCAAGGTCATCCAGCAGCTGCAAGTGGAGGAGTGGGGAATCAAAACTGGTCCTCCCAAATTAGAGTCCACACACTTAGCCACTACACCAAACTGGTGTATGGGAGGGCGGGCCTTGCTTGTCAGCCTAACCTGCCTTGCCAGAGGAGTTGTGAGGATAAAAATGGGAGAGTGGAGAGCCCCTTTTGCCGCCTTGTGCTCCCTGGAGAAAGGGCAGGGTGACATCGGACTAGATCTACTTCCTGTGGCTGGATGACACCCCGCCGGCCTTACCGTTTTGTGGGTGCTTCTGAATTTCAGCAGCTTGAAGACGGCCCGTGTGTCTGTTTCCTGGTTGTACGCTTCCACCACGACCCTGGCTGCGTCACGGGGGGCCAGGGAATCCTCTGCGGGAGGAGAAGCCGACCCGGAGACCCCGAGAAACAGCAAGAGGGTACCCACGAGGAGCAGATCCATGACGGCCCCACTCTGGAGTTTCCAGCAGAAGACTCTGCCTTCGCCCTGCAGCGAAACAGAACTGCAGGGAACCGAGGGACTCGCTCGATTGACTTGGCAAAAACCACATCCTCTGAGAACCAGAAAAAAACCACACGGATCCAGCTCGGAGCAGGCCACAAAACGCGCCCCAGATGTACAGC